GGGCTGGGAATTCTCCGAGGCTCCGGGGGTAGGAGGGGCAGGAGAAGAAGGGATGAAGACAGGGAGCATGGGGGAGAGGAGGGAGAGAGAGAGAGAGTGGGAGAACAAGAGAGGTGAGCGGCGCTTGTGAAATTCCACCCGTCAGGGCGGCTCGGGAGCTCAGCTGTTAAAGTCATTAGCAAGTCCTCTCTCCCTCTCTCCCTCTCTCTCTCTTTCTCTTTTTCTCTCTCTCTCTGTGTCCTGTAATGAAATCTGAGGGTCCCAGAGAAGCCCCCCCACACACCCCACCACCTCCCCTCCCCTCTCCAGATCCTCACTGATCCCTGCAGCCTGTCCGGGGCTTCCTGGAGCCCGTCTAGTGTCAAATCCCGGGAAGACAGGGAGATGTGGAGTCCCGGCTCGGACACGGGAGACTGGAGCACAGCCCACAGGGGCAGCGGGACCATCCCTCTCTCTCGTCCCGCGGCCCCCTGCTCGCTGCCCATCCGCACCAGAGCCGCGCGAACGTTCGAGTCGCATTCTTATCACAAGAAGCCCCCCGGACCCCCAGCACCACGACCAGCCCTCGGGTTTGCTAATGCTGCTCAACTACATTCCAGGCTCCGCGCCACAGCCAAACCTGAAGCCCGGCATTTCTGTCCGTTTGCAATTGCCACGATTTCTTTTAGGATGCATGCATGCAGAAAGGTAAGGCAAAATAAAGGAGGCATGGTACTTACTATAGGGGACAATGGGACTCAGCATTCTGTGGCACTGGTCTCTTTTTAAGACGGTAGTTTCTGCACAATCAATCCCAGATCAGTTCCAGTCCGGCTGCGCTCCATTCGTGCTGCCTGCGATCGGTGAGTCTCCCACAGCCAACAGCCCTGCAACTGAATGGGAAAGCCAGCGGTTCAGTGCTCCAGGACCTCCAGGACACACACACACACTGACACACGCGCTCACGCGCGCACACACACAGCCACACGCGCACGGGCGCGCGTGTGCGCACACACACACACAGAATGGTATTTATTAGGAATGGCCAGCAAAGCAGGCATTTAGCTGATTGCTGAGAAGTATCCAAACAGCACAGGAGAAGCAAAAGGGGGGCTTTATCAATCGCGCCAGGAGACAGGC